AACCCAAAGCCCTAAACCCTGAACCTGAAATCTTCAACCTCCAGCCATGGAGCCTGAAACCTGAAACCACTACTTACTTGTTTAGGGTTTAGGGTTTAGGGTTTAGGGTTTTAGGGTTTAGGGTTTAGGGTTTAGGGTTTAGGGTTTAGGGTTTAGGGTTTAGGGTTTAGGGTTTAGGGTATCATGGGGAATTAAAGGTTCTGAGTTTAGGGTTTAGGGTTTGTGTAGGGATTATATAGGGATATACTACCCCCCCAAAAAAAAATACAATTAAAGGTTACCCTAAACCCTAAACCCTAAACAAAAAACAAAAATAAATAAAGGTTGCATACTCTACACCCTAAACCCTAAACCCTAAACCCTAAACTCTACTAGGACGAAGACTGCGGAGATCCAAGAGACTGCTGCTGCTGGTTCACCATGCTCAAGCACTGCAACACGAAGCCTCGTTTCTTCGTGGCGTTCGGCTTTAGGGGTTTAGGATTTAGGAGTTTAGGGGTTTAGGGTTTAGGGGCTATAAGGTTCTAGGCTCTAGGCTTTAGGATCTAAGAGTTTAGGGGTTTAGGGTTTCGGGGCTATAAAGTTGCGGATATAGGGGTGCACCAGTCAGAGTCTCCCCTGTGCCGCACCAGTCAATTTCTCTACCGTGCCAGGGCACCGATAGCCGGGGAGATCTTGGCAAGCTTGAGGTGATAGAGCGCGAACCTCGAGTTCTGGGGGCTTTTGTTCAAGGGCTCAGGGTTTAGGGATCTATGTAAACCCTACACCCCAAACCCTAACTTTAGGGCATTAAAGCGAAGTGATTCAGATCTTGGGTCTTTGTATCTCAGCGTTTAGGGCTCAAGCTTTCGGTAGAAATTGGTAATACCACCATCGGGGCCCCATCTGCATGTAGCAAGTGACCAAGTTTTCATGGCCGAACACACCCCTAACAATCCGAGGGTTTAGGGTTTAGGGTCCTAAGAAACAAAATCACAAAGCGACTAATTATACTGAACCCACATACCTCGTGCTTAGGTGCGTGCCCTTGAAACCCCTTCTAGAACCCGCACTGTCCGAGTCGGAACAATGAGTAAGAATACCCCTCCAGAAAACCCGATGTACTTAAAGCATAGCAATAGCTGCCTCAAAACCCTAAACCCTAAACCCTTATTCCTATATGATATTGGCACCCTCAGGGAACAGGCCAGCTCTTGAGATCGAAACTTCGAAACTACCTCCTAAAACCACAAGCCACCCCCGAAGCCCTGCACGCAGGCTTCAAGGCCCCTGTGGGGTTTAAGATTTAAAGGTGCTTTTGGGTTTTGGGGCTTGCGGTTTAGGAACCCTAAACCAGAGATGTACGCCCAGAAGCGTAGAGCTAGCAAGGGAGATTTGACTTCGTTTTTGTACCTCCGCAAATCCGACCCCCCCAAAACCAAACGCCCGAGATCCCCAAGAGTGGGAAAAATCCTATATCCTATGGATCCGTGAAGAAAAAGACTCCTCAAACTGACGACACCCGCCGTGCCCGAAACCACGACAGAATCCCGGTTTAGGGTTTAGGGTTTAGGGCTTAAGATCAATAAGCCCCAAATCCCGGACCTGATCTCCGAAAGCCCTATAATGTAGGGACCTTAATAACTAGAATAGGGTTTTGGGTCCTTATTGTGGTTATGGTATAAAGTACTCCCCAACCATATTCTAATTATTAAGACCCCTATATTAACCCTCAGCCCCCGCCCCATAGCTGCATTCAGGGAGCAGACAAACCTGGAAGAGGTCGCCCACATGACGGCCCAACTCCTCGTTGCTTTCGGGCTTCAGGAATTAGGGATACAGGATGCAGTAGGGTTTCCTCGAAGTTAAGGTGGAGGGCAACCGCAAACCCCAATACCCCAAAGCGAACCTGTAGCAAACCCGCATATCGGTCCCCGCGGTTGTTCACGATGACCAGGTCCGAGCAAGCCATTGTCATCAAGGCAACCTCACAAGGATCAGAGGCGTGTTTTAACTTTTTGCCGGTGGGGGGGCATCTATGTCTTTGAACTGTCTCTTCGCGGGAATTTCGGACTGATATTTGGGAGTTTCCGAAGATAGAGGACCCCTAATATAGTACCCTGAATAGTAGGATCCTAATTATAAGTAAGGACCCCAAAATAAGGTACCCCGTATTTCCGAACACTCTCCCATTTTGGGGGGGAGTTTAAGGACTTTGGGGTTCAGGGTATGATGTCGAGGGTTCTGGGCTCCGAGCCTGGAGGCTTTCAGATTTTGTGTCCATCGCGGAAGTGAATATTGAGACGTAGTGCGTCTACTTGGAAAATCATGGGACTTAGTAAGTATGGTTATTTGTGCCTCAATTGGGGTTAAAACTAGTTATAAGTATAGTTACCCTAACAATAACCTTAGTTACTAAGTCCCATGATCCTCCAGTAGGGAAGCGAACGTAGAAACCCTAAACACCCAATAAACCCCCTAAGACCCCAAAGTCCTGAACACCCCATGAATCTCCAAAAAATCCGAAACCACGAACCCACACCTGCTTGTCGAAGACGTCATCACGCGCTTCGACGGAAAGCAGCCCCTTGGGCAGAGGGCTTGGAGTTACAGCTTCAGGGCTTCGGGCTTACAGTTCCGGTAAAGGTTTAGGGTTTAGGGTTTAGGGTTTAGGGTTTCAGGTTTAGGGTTTAGGGTTTAGGGTTTAGGGTTTAGGGTTTAAGGTAATTCCCAGCGAAGAAGAAATCCCTGCAGCCCAGAAGAGATGACAAAATCCGACGCCAGCGCTGAAGGCACATTTAACTGCAGGAATAGGCCACCGCTTTGGGTTCAGGGTCTAGGGTTTAGGATGAGTCGCTGCATGCGGCTCGCCGGATCGAGCCGAACCCTTGGATGCAGGGGGGTTCTGAGGTTGGCATATGTCGCGCCTCCGTGTCCAAGATGACCACCAGGGCGTGCCGCGATTCCAAGAGGGAGATGTACCTGGGCCCATCGAAGTGGAACGGGAGCCGTGTGTGTGTGTGTGTGTGTGTGTGTGTGTGTGCGTGCGTGCGTGCGTGCGTGTGCGCGTATGTGTGTGTGTATATATATATATATATATGCATGTATATATATATATATATGTATATATATATATATATAGAGAGAGAGAGAGAACGAGAAAGAGATAGAAAGACAGACAGATACATAGGTAGATAGATCGATCGATAGATCGATAGATCGATAGATCGATAGACCCATCGATCCATAGATCCATAAATCGATACATAGATCGACACATAGATCGATAGATCGATAGATAGATAGATAGATAGATAGATCGATAGATAGATCGGTCGATCGATAGATAGATAGATGAATAGATTGTTCGATCGTCAGACAGATAGTCAGATCGATAGTTAGATAGATGGATAGATAGATGGGTAAATAGATAAATAAATAGAAATACATGTATGTATATGTGTATACATATATACATGTGTATAT